AATATATAACAAAATTTTGTCTCAGAAAATAAAAAGAACTGTGCAACTGTTTAAATGTGGAATATCTTCTTGTCTGGAGGACCAACCACCCTCACACACGGAGACTGGCTTGAGAGACTTGTAACCTCAACAACAGCTAGATCAGACCAAAGCTGTTACACTGGCTTAGCAAGGATACACAGCTAGGCAAGAGAGAGCAGAAGTCCAGAGAGCTTTGCGTTCTACCCCTTATGCAGAGAAGGACAGCACCTTCCACCAGGTCAGGTACAGTGTGGACCAGTCGAGCTTCTGCCTGTGACCCACCTTCCAGACTCAAGAGGAACTGGGTTTTTTATGAACCACACAGTGGTACAGTTGAGGCACAGTGAGCTGCTGTGACCATTAGAAAAACTCTCATGTCATTGTAGGGACTCTGACTATGCCAGAGCTTCTAGAAGCCAGAGGATGCTCTTCGGCCAGCTCAGAGGTCGTGGACCTGCGGAGGTGATTCCTTCCCATGGTCGTATTTGCTCTCTCCACCACAGCCCTGCTTGGTGCGAGTGGAGCCCCTGAATGCCATGGGCACTCCAGGAGCTTCATCTTCGGCTCTCCTGCTTTCCTTCCTACCTTGCTGCTTTCCTGAACAGTGCCTGGCTTAGGAAGTGTTTCCTGAAAAATTGGGTGACTTCCTAGAAAGTTCAGAGCTTTCACTTTCTGATCTTAGTAAGCCCTGGCTCTGGTGATGAGCTTGTTGTCCTTTCATGAGATTCAGGGGGAAAGACGATGATAGGTGGGCCTGGCCACCTCTCCTGCTTTCGTGGAGGTAGCAGGTGAAGATACAGGCTCGGTCCCCAAGCAGAAGGTGGGAATCTTCAGCAGGCTACCAGCCCCATCAGAGCACTGTCCTCTGAGCCACTTGCTGTCATGGAAAAGGCCAGGTGCTGGGCTGTCTGTGCTTTTCCTCTTTTGCCATCTCTGTCAATGTGGATGTGCCCCAGTGATCCAGTCTGTGAGCTTTGGGACTGTAAGGAGGAGGAGGAGGAGGAGGAAGAGGAGGACTAGGTAGAGGAAAAGGAGGAGGAGTTGGTAAATGGGTTCTAATTGGTGTTCTTGTGTGGCTTGGGCAGGGCAGGTTGTAGGTCTTGCCTCTCTGAGCTCAGCTCTCCCATTTTCATCTTGGGTTGTATAATGTTCTTTGCATGATTTCAAGGCTAAGATGGTTCATGGCCACTGTGATCTTTTTATATATGTCTCACTTCATGTGTTCCTCAGATTGTATTTGTTCAGTGGGATGTAAGAAGGCTCTGCTGGTACACTTTGCCTAGTGAGGGAAATTGTGTGTGTGAGTTTTCCTTCATTTTTCTACAAGGTGTTGTATGTAGCCAGTCTTGTGACAGTCCTCCTGAGCTGCCTGTTGTGTTCTTAAATAAGTTTAAAAATATTCTTTTCCATTAAAGCTGTTATAGAAAAGCATTTCTGAGCTGTTTGTAAAGGTGCTGTGTTCGGACGATAGCAGTGTTACACCTGACACCAAGCTGACCTGGTGAGCGTTGGTGGTATGCTTCCAGTCTAGGCTCCCAGAAGGCCTGCCTCACTCCTGTGCCCTTTCTTTTTGGCCCATTTTTTCTACGCAGCACTGTCTTCCAGTCTCCACTTGACATGAGCTTGAGGGTGCTGCCCTCCCTCAGCTGTGGTCTGTCTCCTGTCTGTTCTTCCCCAGTACTCAGCCTTCACTTGGAAGGTTACATCAGTGTGACTGATGCCACTTGTACTGTCCTTCATAGGTCTTAGTAAGAGCTGCACTCTGGGGAGCCTGAACAGACTGAGCTGAGCTGGGCTGTTCACACTGCACCCCCAGTTATTTAAGATTGACATCAGCCTTCTGTTGCTACAAAAGCACTTAAATAGTACAGTCTCAGTAGAAACAATGGGAAGTGCAGGTGCTGAAGTGAGGAAAATGCCACATGGTGGCCTGAGTTCCACCAGCCTACCCTAGGTATCACCAGCTTTTAAAGCCTTCGCCCCTTTATGTATTTATTATATTGAGCTTTTCCCCTCCTACCTCCCAGCCTCTTTTTGGCCCCTTCCCATGAGTCCCCCTTATCCTAGACAGTTAAATATTTCTATGGATTACTCTTGGCACACTATGGTATTTTTAACTAAAATGAGATCCTGTATATGGCAGTTTTTTGAGAATGTTATATGTTCTGCTTGGTTTTTGTCAACACAAGCTAAGAGTTATATGGGAAGAGAAATCTTAAGAACGCCTGTATCAGATTGACCTGGAGCAGCCTGTTGCTGTTTTTTCTTGACTAACAATTGGTGTGGGAGGGAGAGCCCAGCTTACTGTGGGCAGCACCACTTCCAGGCAATAGAAGAAAGCAGGCCGAGCAAGCCAGTCAGGGTTGCCCTGACTTATCTCAGTGATGAACTGTGACCTGAGAATTGAAAGCTGAAATAAACCCTTTCTTACTCACATTGCTTTTGGTTATGATGTTCATCATAAGAATAAAAACCCTAGAAGACATTGTGGTAAAGTGAATCTAATAGCTTGGGCTTTGCTGGGGCACTCATGTTATAAGCGTCAATCCATTCACAGGTGCATTCAGTCGATACATTCACGGTTTTGTATGGAATCTCCAGAGCTCTGCCTATTAGACAAAAATATGTGCTAAACTCCAGTCTCCCCTTTAATTGCCAATGGTCCCTCTGCTTTCTGCTCTTGTGAATTTTTTTAAAGAGTTATTTATCTATTATGTATACAATGTTCTGTCTGCATGTACACCTGAACACCAGAAGAGGACACCAATTTTCCTTATAGATGCTTGTGAGCCACCATGTGGTTGCTGGGAATTGAACTCAGGACCTCTGGAAGAGCAAACAGTGCTCTTAACCCCTGAGCCATCTCTCCAGCCCTGCTCTTGTGAATTTAACTGTTCAAAATACCTCACATTTATCTGTTGTGATGGCTTATTTTACTTAGCACAATGTCCTTAAGACTCATTCATGAAATCTTGAGTTGCAAATGCTTTCCTTTTTAAGGCTAATTAATATTCCATTATATGTACATATTACTTTTCTGTTCTGGGATTTGTGCATTTTTCTTTGTTTTGTTTTGTTTTGTTTTTTTGTTTGTTTGTTTGTTTCGACAAGGTCTCGCTGTTTGACCCTGGCTGGCCTTGAAATCACAAAGATCAGCCTGCCTCCTGAATACTGGGCATAAAGGCGTGAGCCACCGTGTCTGGCTATTTGCTGTTTTATAATCTATTATTTTCAGCTGTCTTCAGTATCCTGTGTCAATATATTTTTGGGAGGCTTGAGGAATGAGTCAACGTGGACTCCCTATGTAGCCAAGGGTGATCTTGAACTGCTCCACCCCCCCGAGTGCTGGCGACAGCAAGTGCTGGTACTCCAGTGGTGCTCCTAGTGTATGGTACATGAACACTGCCAGCTGGCCTACATCACCAGCCGCGTAAAGTGTAATGCTACACCTGGTTACCAACCATACCACTGTTCTGCCTGCTTGTCTAACCATCCCCTTCTCTTGTCTAAGGCTTATTGGGGTATAACTTATAAAAATTTGTTAGAAGTGTGTCAGAGGTTTTGTTTGTTTGTAGTTTTGTTACCAGTTAAGTTTGAATATATGATATGTCCACTACCTAGAGCCATTTTTTGTGTCTAGTGAACACTCTGGTTCCCTTCTCTTTTTACATCCATTTATTCTTAATTATTATTTGATGTATTTTGCCTGCATGTATGACTATGCACCATCTGCATGCAGTGACTGAGGAAGGCAGAAGAGAATGTCAGGTCACCCTGGAACTATAATTACAGTTGGGTGTTAGTTGCCATGTGGTTTCTGGGTGACAGTCAAACCTAAGTCCTCTGGAAGATCAGCCAGACCTCTTCGCCACTGAGATAAATCTCTACGCCGGTGGTTCTCAACCTTCTTAATGTGTGACACTTCAATACAATCCCTCATGTTGTAGTAACCCCCAACCATAATATTATTTTGTTGCTACTTAATAACTGTAATTTTGCAACTGTCATGAATCCTAATGTACATATCTGATATGTGACCTCTTGGTTCACAGCCCAAAGGTTGAGAACCACTGCTCTAGATCCTCTTCTTGTTTTAAGTCTAGGTGTCATGTGTGCAAACCGACTTCATACTAGTAATGTGGCTGAGGACGAACTTCAATTTCGGATCCTCCTGGCTCCATCACCTGAGTACTGGGATTCTAGCCATGCACCACCACATCTGCTCTATTCTGTGCTGGGAATGGAACCAATGGCTCAGTGCATGCTAGGCAGGCACCCTACCAATAAAGCCCTGCCTGCTAAAAATGCTAGGACTTCAGGCTTCTGTCACCACGCCTAGCATCACTCGTGTCTCTTAATGCCACTGTCTTCTTTGGAGCTCAGTGCAGCAGCCTTGTGAAGCAGTTTGTGGTGTCATCATTTACAGATGAAACAGCAAGGGTAGGGAAGAGGGCTTTGTGACTTGGCCTGAGTCCAGGACTTTCTCACCCCATTCAGTCATCTCTTTTAACAGCTCCAGATTAGTGGGTGGGAGTGCTTTTCTGACATGTTTTTCCAGTTATGAAACTGTTAATGTAAATCAAGAGCTTCTTCATATAGAAGGGTTTTGAAAAATACTTTATGTGAATGAATATTTACTTGCATGTATGTCCTTGCAACACATTCCTGCAGTGATCAAAGAAGCCAGAAGAGGGTATCAGATCCCCCTGAGACTGGTATTTGAGGGGGTTGTTAGCTGTGGTATAGGTGCTGGGAATAGAGGCTGGGTCCTCAGCAAAAGCAGCAAGTTCTTTTAACCGCTGAGCCATGTCTCCAGCCTCCAAAATGTCAACTTTTGAGATAACTTTTCTAAAAAGCTAGTCTTGGGTGGTTGTGGTGCTTTGTTTAGAATCAAGGAAAATGACTGCACTATCATCCAATCTTGGGGTAAAATGCTTTCCCCTAAGGTGTAACTCAGCTTTCTAAACTTGTCTTCTCAGGTATTTTATGCATGGTGTATGTCGCGAAGGCAGCCAGTGCCTGTTCTCACATGACTTGGCAAACAGCAAACCATCCACCATCTGCAAATACTACCAGAAGGGCTACTGCGCCTACGGTGCACGCTGCAGGCAAGCCTGTCATGATTGTGGTCACTGAAGTGGAGCTATGTGTGGAGAATGCGGGTTGTGTTTGGTTTTGTTGGCAGGGTTTTATGCTACCCAGGCTGACTTCAAATGCTATGTAGCCAAGTCTGTCGTTGGATTTCTGTTCTCCTGTCTCTATGCATGAGCCCTGATGAGGGGGAAATTTTAAACTTAAAATTGTACTTAGAATATTAATAATTTGTGTTTTGCTTTTAAATCCCTTATAATATATCCTTTACCTACTGCTACCAACCCATCACTGTGGTTTTGTGAATCATAAGGTGGTATACCATTGATTGTTTTATAAAAATTATTTATTTATTTTATATATGAGTGCTCTATCTGCATGTACACCTGCATTCCAGAAGAGGGCATCAGATCCCAATATAGATGGTTGTGAGCCACCATGTGGTTGCTGGGAAATGAACTAAGGACCTCTAGAAGAACAGACAGTCCCAATCAGCGTGTCCTAGCAATTCCTGCCCAGGGGGCCTGGACACCTGGTGGCACAGGTGTCAAGGGCTCTTTTTGGGTGGTCTGGGCAGTGGATAGGTTCCTGTCAGTCCTACTGGGACATTTAGGTTGTGGCTATAGGTAGCAGGTTACATGGCCCAAATAGCCTTTTCTAGTAGAAAGTACAGAGACAGACCCTTGCTCACTTTAGTGAGTCCAGCTGTTGGTGGCTGGGAGTTCAGGGAGTGTTGTGGGGGCTGAGATGTTGGTGAATGGCCATGATACATTGTTGTGTTTTGTTCAGATATGATCATACAAAGCCCCCAGCTGCAGCAGGTGGAGCTGTGGGCCCTGCGCCTCCCTCTTTGCCCTCCTTGGGCTTAAACAGTTCTCAGCCCTCTCCCGACATCGCCACATCTGTTATGAGGACACATTTGCATGAACCTGGGAAGCGGGAGAAGAAGACGCTGGTGCTCAGAGACCGCAGTGAGTGTACTGCAGCCTTCGCTGCCTTTAGGGAAGCAGCATGTATGGCTTACTGCTGCTTTCAGACCTCCTCGTCACAAAGCTCCTGGCATCATAGGAGCCCAGAGTTGATCTAAAAACAGGCTACAGAGGTTCAGAGATGTATCTCCACAGCTGGGCTGAGCTCCGAGCTCAGCAAAGCATCAGAGTGGTCCTTTGTCACCATGAAAGTGCCTCTTCATAGGGGTCACCCACTGATGAGAAACTGCAAGCTACTCATTTTGAAGCAGGGTGTCTTAATGGAAAACACATGTCACTTTCTTCTTGTTTGGAGCCATGCCCTTGTAGTGACTGCTTTGGGGGTTTCAGGAGCATCTTCAAACACAGGGCAAGGAATGGGTGTGGGCCTAGAACAGGTTTGAGAGAAAGAAAGCATCAAGTGTAAAGGCTTCTGAACAGCTGGGCCACACTGGGAAGTTACCTAGCTCTTGGAGTTGTTCCCCTCAGAATAGGTGGATTCTGCTCTCAGCAGACATCGTCAGCTGGAGCAGTGGCTCACTCTGGTAGTGCCAGCAGTGTGTGACGGGCAGCACCCCACGGGCTTCAGGCCTCAGGATTGGTGCTTCTGCAGTGGAGCCACTGTGTTCTGTTGACCTTGTCAATTTCTTTCATGTTTTGGGTGGTTTTAGCATTAAATGGTCTGTATGTTGATATCTTGTGTATAAAAATACCTTCCCTTTTGTTGTTCTGCATGTTCATGCAAGGTCTGGGTCGTCTCTCAGCCTCTGCACTGTTGTTACTCTCTGGCTTGCTTTTCACTAGCTGTTTCTAGTTTAGATTATTAGCTGACATGTAAGATTGAGCCTGTTCTTATGTGTGTGTGTGTGTGTGTTTGTGTGTATGCGTGTGCTTGTGCTTGTGTGTGTGTTTTGTGTTGAGATCTCACTGGCCTGGCTGAAGACAAGACTCCTCCGAGCACAGTGAATAATCCAGGTGGCTGCAGTGATGCTCAGACCAGCCCAGAGATGAAGCCCCATTCCTACCTAGATGCCATCAGGACTGGCCTGGATGACTTGGAGGCCAGCAGCTCCTACAGCAATGAGCAGCAGCTGTGCCCCTATGCTGCTGCTGGGGAGTGCCGCTTTGGAGATGCCTGTGTCTACCTGCATGGGGACATGTGTGAGATCTGCAGGCTTCAAGTCCTCCACCCCTTTGACCCAGAACAAAGGAAGGCCCACGAGAAGGTAACTTGAAAACCTTTTCATGAATTTATTTTAAGAAACCTGAATGTTCCAGGGGATAGAGTCATTCAGGAGTCTCACAGGCATCTTTCTGCCAGAAATGCCTATGTTGTATATCTGGCTTATTTCTATTGTTTTCAAGTTCTTTTCCTGTTGCCATTTTATCAATTTTTTACTATTGAGAACAAAGAAGAATAAGTATTAGAAATGCAAAGTTCAGGACTGGAAAGATGTCTCACCAATTAAGGGCATTTGCTGAGGCTGGAGGTGGTGCACACCTTTGATCCCAGCACTCGGGAGGCAGAGGAAGTCAGATCTCTGAATTCAAGGCCAGCCTGGTCTACAGAGTGAATTTTAGGGTAACCAGGGACACACAGAAAAAAACCCTGTCTCAAAACAAAAAACAATAAAAATTTCTGCTCTTGCAGAGGACCAGCATTCACTTCCCAGCACCCAATTTGGGCAGCTCTGGGCAACCCCCTGTAATTCCAGCCCCAGAGGGTCCAACATTGTCTTCTCACTTCCTAAGAACACGCACACACACATACGAATAATAGTGATAAATCGTTCAGCTCTAAGAAGTGCAAAGTAAGGCTGGAGAGATGGCACATCGGTTAAGAATACTGGCTGCTCTTAGAAAGGGCTGAGGTTCAGTTTCTACACCCATATGGCAGCTTACAGCTGTAACTCTAGCTCCAGGGGAATCCAACACCCTGACACAGACAGACATTTAGGCAAAACACCCATGCACATAAAATGAATCAAATAAAAATAAAAAGAAGCTTCAGTGCATTCATCTCACAGAACATTTAGTACATTCTTTGAGAAAAACTAATGAGTTAAAAAAATGCAAAGTAAAGAAAGCAGCTTTATCTCCGGAGCACATGTACCTGTGCCTGCCTTCTACGCCACATGTACACACATCTTTCCTCCCTAGCTTTAAATGTCTCTCTGGTTGGGATCCAGGCAGCCAATGTTTTGGAAACTTTGGAAAACCTTTATTATAGATTTTCCTTTAATTTTATTATGTGTGTGTGTGTGTGTGGATGTGTATCTGTGTTTGTGCCAGTGCCTGTGTGTACCTGTAGAATTGAGAAGAGAGTATGTAGAATCTTTGAGCTGGAGTTACAGGCAGTTGTGAGCTGATGAGGGTAACTGGAACCCAAATTCAGATCCTTTGGAAGAGCAACAAGAGCTCTTAACTGCTGCGCCATCCCTCTATCCCCTTTTATCATGGACTCTTAAGAGCCAAGTGTTGAAAGGCTCTGAATATCCTGGTATCCGGAGGGTGTGCCTCACATTAGGCTGTGTGCTCATTCCAGGGCTATGAAGATGGATTAGAGAAATGAAGAAGCTCAGGATTACAGCATTAGAGGCCAGGTCACACTTCTAAGGATTGGTATTACATGGGATAAAGTGGTCATGGCCTCTCACAGAAGGCCTATATGTCTCAGGAGGGCTGCTAACACACAGTGCATGCCAGCAGCTTTGCCTCGCTTGGAAATCAGAATCCCAACTTTGACTTCAACAAGTCACATGCCCAGCAGGCAGCATTCTTGGCAGCTCAGCCTCTGTGGGACAGCAAGCTGTGGGACTCAGATTGGGTCCACTTTTTGTCCACATGCATAGAGTACTGTGCTGTTCACTCAGCTCAATGACAGTTACTTGGTGTTTCCTGTATTGATGTGTGAAATAGGCATGACATCAGAAGAGCCAGGAGACCTGCAACCCGGTGCTCATGAATGCTGCCACCTCCACGGTAATCTAAGTGTTCTAGAACTCTGTGGCGTTAATCTGGAGTGGCCATATCCTACTAGGGAATCCAGGACATGGTAGCTTGAGGTTCACCTTATGGTCAGGGCACTGCAGCTGCTGTGGCTATGTGGCTGAGCAACTCCTGGAATCTTGGCCACAGATAACCTAGCGCTTCCTCCCTGTCATCCTCAGATGTGTATGTCCACCTTTGAACACGAGATGGAAAAGGCTTTTGCCTTCCAGGCGAGCCAGGACAAAGTGTGCAGCATCTGTATGGAGGTGATCCTGGAGAAGGCATCTGCCTCTGAGAGGAGGTTTGGCATTCTGTCCAGCTGCAGCCACACCTACTGCCTGTCCTGCATCCGCCAATGGAGATGCGCCAAGCAGTTTGAAAACCCCATCATCAAGTGAGTGCTGCTGGACTTCTCTGCAGTCATGGGGTCTGCTGCCCTCTAGAGCACAGGCCCCCAGCTTTGTGAGCTTGCCCAGGACATCCTTTCTGAGCCCATCTGCCTGTCTTTGGTGCTTCAGGTTTTTTTCACCTTAATAAAGGGGTTTAGGTTTCCTTGGAGTATAGGTCCTGTGCACTTCCCGCATGTTGTTGGGAGCTACCTGTGTGCAGCAGCTTCACTGAGGGAGAAGAGTGCTGTGGGGTCCAGTATTTTCCAGAGTTGCTCAGCTGATATGCAGTCTAGTTCTAGAAACTTGATTATCCCCTAAAGCCTATACTGCCACCCACCCATTCTTCCATTCTTCCAACCTCTTCTCTACAGATACCTTACTCTGCTCTTCATTGGTGTGCATGTCCTTTGCCCTAGCTAGTGTGCCCAGGGCCACCCGTGCATGATAAGCGCACTCAGCATTTACTCCTCCCTGTGTTTTCCGAATGACAACAGCTTGTAGCCTGCTTGGCAGCTAGTGGATACTCATATACAAGTCTAGACCCTAGGAGTGGTCACAGTAGCTCGGCCTCTAACTGAAGCATTGTTCCCCCAAAGTGGTGGTACCATATCCCGCTCTTACCTACAGGTACGGATTCTAGTTTCTTTACATTCACTCCAACAGCAGCCTTTATTTCTAATCTGAGCTGTCCTGGGAATAAAGTATATTTCACATCATCTCGTCTTCCAGAGTCACCAAGGATAATGAGTATCACTGTGTGTGCTTATTGGCTGTCCTGGATGTGCTCAGGTCTCTGTTTCTTATTGAATTAAGCTTTTGCAGCAGCAGAAGCTGCTCTTAGATTATGGTAATTATCTCTGGCCATTCGTTTGAGCAGAGGGGTTTGGGGTAGAATGGGCAGAGAACTCATGGCATATTTTCACCTTTACTGACATGGTTGGTTTTGTTGTTGTTTTTTTTTTTTTTTTTTTTTTTTTCAGGTCTTGTCCAGAGTGCCGTGTTATATCAGAGTTTGTAATTCCAAGTGTGTATTGGGTAGAAGATCAGGATAAAAAGAATGAATTGATTGAAGCTTTCAAACAGGGAATGGGGTAAGTGCTTTGAAAAGCCTCTGTCATCTTCAGGTTTCCCAAAAAATGTTGGCCTGATGGATGGCTTTCAGAGCTTCTTGTTCCTACCAGGCACTTTGCTGGCCTCTGGGCTAGGGGCTGGGCTAGGGGTTGAGCAAGGCCTTGAGGAAGCAGACGAATTCTAAGATGAGCCCTGTGCCTGGTGCTATGGTTTGACTTTGCCTCCCTGATTTAACAAGTACCTGTTGAAGATCTGCCTTGCAGGCCTTATCCATTGTAGGGCCCAAAGAAGCCGACAGTGCCAGCCTCACATATCTCATACTCTAGTCTAGCAAAGGAAAGTAATGAACAGCAAGGTGAATAAGGCAGAGAGACTCTGCCTCAAATAAGGTGATGAGGACTGACTCCACATGCTTTTCATGATACTTAACAACTCATGTTGCCTTATCTGCCCTCAACCTTCCACCCTAGCTGCCCTCATGCTGGGGTTATAGGTATGCACAACCACACCTGGCACCTTTTTAAAAAGAATGACTTTTCTAGGAATTTTCCACAGAATAGTCCCATTGCCTTATATCTTTCCTTTGTCACCACTGTCATTTGTACTGTGAATAATATATGTGTTGTACGTACATTATTACAAAACCTACAAGGCAGCATCAACTTGGCCATTTCTTTTATGTTGTTTTTATTGAGAAAAGATCTCACTGTGTGGCCCTGGCTGGTCTGAAACTTGCTATGTAAATTAGGCTGGCCTTGAACTCAGAGATCCACCTGCCTTTGTCACCCAAGAACTGGAATCAAAGACATGCATTACCATGCTTGGTCAAAATTTACTACTTCTTTTTTTTTTCTTTTTTTTTCTTTAAGACCTCCCTCTCCCGTTTGTTTTAGAAGTTTGTATATTTAGTGACTGTGGCTTGATATTTACTCATCTTACCACTTTCCCTCCTGTCATGTAATTGTGTGTCCATCCACAAGAGGGCAGATTTGGCAAGACAGATCTGGTTGGGCTTAGAAAGGTGCTGTGCTGAAAGTTTGAAGTTGCTTCACTGCTGTTGATCTGGCCTGGTTGTGCATCCCTCTGCTGGATGCTCTTGAGCAGTCTCCAGACACTGGGTTTGAGCCAAGCACCACCAGGGAAAGGAGAGATGAGTGAGGTTATCCCTCATCAAAATGTTAGGGGGCAGTGAGATGGCAGATTTCTTCATTAGTGGCCCAAGCCAGAACAAACCCTTGAGTCTACCTTGGGTGCAAGGAGAAGGAAGCCATGTAGAGCCCTCAATACCTAGCTGTGGGCTAGGCAGCACAGCTCCACTGTGGGAGGCTTATTAGTGGGATGGGACAGCGTCCAGGAAGATAGAACTGGCAGGCAGGAACAAAGGGTGATACCCTGGTAATGGGCCAGGAGGCCAGGTTGGTTTGGGATTTGTCAGTAGCTTTGATGGATGTGAGAGCTGAGAACGCTGAGGCACCAAGCTGGAGCTTTTGACTTTGGTGGGCAGATAATAGAGCTGGAGGAGAAAGAAGAGGGAAGGCAAGGTTTGTTTTTGATACAGGGTCTTGCTTCATAGCCCTGGCTGGGTTAGACCTATCTGTAAACTAGGCTGACCTCAAACTCATAGAGACCTTCCTGCCTCTGCTTCCCAAGGTTTGAGAATACAGGTGTATGCCACCATGCCCACTGAGAGGGCAGTTCTGAAACTGATGAAGGCCTCTTGGAAAACTGAGTGTTTACTCTCCAGGTTATAAAAAATAAAACCCAGAGAGTGGAGAAGGGCCAAAGGTACAATGAAGAGTTCAGCTATGCTCCTAAAAGTAGAAGGCACCTGCAGGTTTAGGTATCTGCTAAGACCTGCTTTCCCAGGCTGTCCTGTCACTTTGACAGGGTTCCTGACCAAGAGGAAAGGAAACTATCCCACTTGTTTTGGAGACTTGAGCAGAGCGGGTGAGCTAGCATCCGACCATAGCACGCTGGAGTACCCAAGTCTCACTCAGCCCTGGTGCAGAGCTGGGATTTGGGGGTAGGGTTTGTCCTTTCTTCTGAGCACTGCAGCAGCCTCCACACAGAGCATCCCAGCATCATTGCCTCGCTTGGAAATCAGTTCCAGCTGTGACTTCAACAAGTCACTTCACTTCTCTCAGCCCCAGGTCGCAGTTGTAAGACAGTTACCACACTTCATTTTTCCATCATCCTCTGATTTGTCTGTGTGTATGCTTTTCAGGAAAAAGGCGTGTAAATACTTTGAACAAGGCAAGGGGACCTGCCCCTTTGGAAGCAAGTGCCTTTACCGCCATGCTTACCCTGATGGGAGGCTGGCAGAGCCAGAAAAACCCCGGAAGCAGCTGAGTTCTGAAGGCACTGTGAGGGTAAGCTGGTTAGGGATGTCGGGGGAATTCTTAGGTACAGCCCAGGCTCCTACTAGCTTTGGCAGCAGAGTGGCGGGGTTAACAAAGCAAAGCACAAGCTGGCACTCAAGAGTCTGCTTCCATCTCTACTGACCCAGGCGTGCTTGTTGGCTGTTTTTTCAGTTCTTTAACTCAGTGCGGCTTTGGGATTTTATCGAGAACCGAGAAACCCAGCAGGTCCACAGCACCGATGATGTCGACGTGACGGAGCTAGGAGACCTCTTTATGCACCTTTCTGGAGTAGAGTCATCAGAGCCCTAGTCAGTACTGACCCCGTCATCTGGGCTCTGCAGTCAACTTTCCAAGGCAGGTCGCGGAAGCATCTGTCACTGACCCGAGGTGACATAGTACTGGGATGTGAGTGCGGTAGTGAGTCCCCATGATCTCTATGTTCCATTTTCTACGCCCTGGTAAAGGGAAGGGCATAAGATAACCAAGTCCATGGAATCACTACATTTAGAGTTGAGCTCTTAGTTGTACCTCCAGCCCTCTACTGGGGACCAGCTATGCGGTCCAGCTGTTTTAATTGATTGCTTTTAAATGAAATCCGACTGCCATCTTTCTCTTGTGACTTTTTTCCTTAAGGCAACAGTAAATACGCAGCTGCTCATAAAGCAGCAGATCTGTTTTTTCTTGCCAAGGCGTCGCCAGCCCTGAAGAGGGCTCCTCTGCAGTGACCATCTCTAATGTAGTTTGTTGAGCCTTGGAATTTATGCAGCTTTGCAATGAGAACACCTGTGGTCGTGGTGGCGCTGTACCATAGAGTAGGCTCTGATGAGTCAGGCTTGAGTTCCCTCCAGTGTCCAAATCAGCAGGTTTGTGCGGTTTACGCTTAACAGGTGGATCCTGTCTGTAAAGTTCTCCAAGGAGACTTCGTCCTACCCTGCCCACCTTGTAGTGAAAGCACAAGACCCTGAGGACTCACACTCCAACTGTCCATTCTCAGCGGGAGAGTGGGCTCTACTCTGCTGTTTTTTGTGGTGCTGACCTGAGTCACTCCCATCTAAGGGGAATAAGGCCAACACAGCTAGATTGCAAGTGTAGAATGCTTATAACCTTGCAAGTCAGCAAGTTTGTTCTACATCTGAGTTTATTTTTGTAAAAAGCTGTAGATATCAACTATTTTATAAATGCACCCTTACGGTATGGGGAGTAACACCTGTGGGCTTTTTTGCTTGGTGGTTCATGTAACTGTAGAGAAGGCTCACACCACACAGACCCTCCTTGAGTTGAGTTCTGCACAAGAAACCATACAAGTAGGATCCACACTGCAAGTTTGATAATAGAATACTTTTGAAGGAGTTGGTAACCATTAAACCTAAATTTAATTTATTTTATTAAAATAACATAATTGAGGAACAATCAGATAACTGTATCTTGTCAGGCGCAATAAAAACAAATTAAAACCCAAAATCATTAAGAAAACCTGTACTCTTGGCTTTCTTACAGACAAGGATGTGACTAGAGACAGGGCTGGGCTGCAGCCCACCCCATAGGGGCAGCTCCTGGAAGACAGATTGAGCGTGTGGGAGGCTGCCGCAACGTGGAGCACCGCGCTTTAAAGCCATCCGCACAGGACACCTTAGACACAGGAAGAGGAGGGTGTGTCCGCAAAGTGAAGTTCTGTAGTACCAAAGCAGGGTCTCTCAGGTGGCCAGGACTCCATGTGCAAAACTGGCACTGCACCACTGTCTGTGCCCTCCAACAGACAGGCTCAATGAGCCAAGTTCCCAACTTGTCCCCGCAGCAGCCAGAGCGCCCTGCCACCTTGACTTCTCTCCACCGCCATTTGCCCTAAAAATGCTCAGCTGACTTGTATGCCACTGGAGCAGAGCAGGCAGCATGGTGGGCAGCTTCCTTTTCCAGGGCAGGAGGGGTAGAAAAGAAGGCAACATGAAGTTTAAGGCCCTGTGAGTAGTCTAGGTCCTTAGCAGCAGCTTCCCGGAAAACATGCATTCTGCCCCCAAGGAAAGTAGTGCCTGCTGACTCTTCTTCCTCCCCTGGTGGCCTAAGAACAGCTCCAACATGAGCTAGAAGACTGGTAGCCTCGGGGATGTGGTCAGCGTGCAAGCATTGATGTCCTCAGTGTGGGCTGCTCGATGCAGGGAAGGCTCAGAGGCGCTCCTGTTGATTTTTGGCAGAGCATGCTGAAGCAGCTCGATGGAAGACAGGATCTGAAACAAGGCCCAATGTGGTCTCATTAGTTGGGGATTTGGTATCTCCCCAACCACCCGTTCAGTCAAGTGCCCAAGCACACAGGCTGTTTGTTCCCTGTACTTGTAGAGAGCTTGTGGAGCACAGATGGTCCCTGCAAACCCAGTCCTACCCCACCTCATTTATATCCTCAGACTGTTTGAGCTACTGAGCTCCATCTAACCTGGGGAAACAGAGGCCTCTCTTCTTTGACTTTCTTCACACAGTCAGCCACCAACCTCTTCATTGCCTTGGGGCAGTTCTTGTAGAGCCTGCTAAGATCTGGAGAGACATATCCACGGCCCACCATGAAGATAATCTAAAGGAGACAGTTGAGCAAGCGAGTTTGTGAACAAGAGTATACTGGTACTAACTGGCCCCTTGCTGCTCTGCCAGGCCCCATGATCACCTGGTCTCGGTTGTTGATGTGAGAGTAGGGAAGCTCCCCAGTCATCAGCTCATACAGCACGATGCCATAGGAGTAGACATCAGACTGGAAGCTGAACGGGTTGTTATCCTGCATTCGGATTACTTCTGGGGCCTATGAGGACAAAGTATTGTTAGTCCCTGGGTGATGGGCTCCAGGGACATTCAGGATCCAGACTACTCTAATTAGATGGGGGAAGAGGTTATCAGTCCTTAGCCCAGGGTAGCTCTTTCCCAAAGTCTCAACCGCTAGGCTCTGGCCTCTGTTGCCTTCCCAGGTGATAATGTAGTTTGCCTTAAGCTGACTGACATGGGGGATCAAGCAGACTCGAATAGCTGTGCCCAAATGCTGTCAAGTTTACATCCAGCCCTGGGTCAGTATTTCCATCATGCTCAGAAAGTTGTTTGGGGCCAGCTTCCTTACCATCCACAACACAGAGCCAGTGGGCTGTTCAACCTGCTGAGAACCGCTCCAGCGTGACTTCACTGTTGCCAAACCAAAATCTCCAATTTTCACTGTGAGGCCTTCATGGAGAAATATATCTCGATGCTTGTTAAGGAGACTGACCGTTCACTGTTCATTACAGAGCTTTCTATCTCCTTCATCACACAGTCTGGGGGCTAGTAATTGGAATACACCCAATTACTAGCCCCCAGACTGTTTAGCCTACATTTGGCACTTACGAGAGCAACGAAACATTTTCTTTAAAAGATACTCACTAAAACTGGTCTATTTTGAGACTTCTGCCAGCTTCTTTCCAGGTAACAGGCAATTTTGGTCTGACTTGTGACCTGCTGGTTTATGGAAATTCAAACCTTAAGTCTGTGCTAATATCTTGTCATAGTGCTTAGCTGCTGAAAAACTTACTTCAGGAAAGTGTGGCAAGGAGGTCACGGCCACTGATGTAGCACAGCTCGTTGGTCATGCAGCACAGGTGATGTTAACACTGCCAGGCCATCTTAAATTAAGCATGGGAGGTGTATACTTGGTGTGCACTGTTTTAGAAGCAGTGGTCTCTAAGCTGACTTCTGTGCATTCAAGGACAGTAAGTAGCCATTTCAAAATCTTCAACACTGGGGGAAAGGAAACAATCAGACTTTGTAGGGTCTACTGGATACTGGTTCTGAATTGATGCCGATTCTAGGAGACTCCAAGAAACACTGTGGCCCTCCATTAAAATAGGGGCTTCGTGGCGGTCAGGTGATTAATGGAGTTTTGGTTGAAGTCTGACTCACAGTAGGTCCCCAAAATTACCATTCTGTTTATTTTTCTAGTTCTGGAATGTATAATTAGGATAGATTTACTTAGCAGTTGACAGAATTCTCAAACTGGTTCCCTGACCTGTGTAGCAAGGGTTGTTATGGTTGGAAAGGCTAAATGGAAGCCTTTAGGAGTTGTTTCTGCCAGATAAAAAACAGTAAATCAAAAATTTCACATTCTTGGCAGAATAGCAGTAATCAGTGCCACCATCAAAGACTTGACATATGCAAGGGTAGTGACTCATCCCACATCTCCCTTTAATGTTCCTGTCTGGCCAGTGCAGAACAGATGGACTGTAAAGAACGACAGCTGACTATCAAACTCCCATCCAAGCATCTGCTGCACCAGATGTGCTGTTCTGACTTGACTGATTAACAGACCACCGGGTACCTGAGAATGCTGATCTAGCAAACAAATGCCTTTTTCTTGTTTATGAGTACCACCAGAGGCAATTCGCTTTCAGTTGGCAAGGCCAGCAGTGTGTATCTTTACAGTTTTACTTCAAGGATATATTAACTCTCCAGCCCTGGGTTTAAAGGAATCTCGATCATCTGTCTCTTCCACAAACTGTCAACATTGGTCAACTATGTGGATGACGTTATGCTGGTTGGGCCAAGTAAGCAGAAAGTCTCAACAGTCACTTTGGACTTGTTGGTAACACATCTATGCAAAGGATGGGGGGGTCCAAAATCAAGCTGGAGAGATGGCTCAGTAGTTAAGAGCACTTCCAGAGGTCCTGAGTTCAATTCCCAGCAACCACATGGTGGCTCACAACCATATATAATGAGATCTGGTGCCCTTTTCTGACATGTAGACACACATGCAGGTAAAACATTATGTGTGTGTGTGTATATATGTGTGTGTGTGTATATATATACACACATATATATTCCAATTCCATAATCTTGAAAATCTGATTTGGTTTGCAGTTACTTTTCCCTCTGTATGTACAGCCACACACCTTCCACAGACTAAATATTACCCTCTTCAAGCTACACTTCAGATAATCCAACCACGCTGAGTTCAAGTCCATTCCAGGTTTGCATCCCAACTCTGAAGAAATTACTTTTAGATCACTGTTGGTTAAAACAACAACAATAAAAAACTTAAGTTCCTTCAACTCTCATGGACACTAGTCATTGCATCCCAGGAAATTTGGAGACTACAGCGAGCCTATGTTTGGCTTCCCAACTATATTTTGTTTTCCTTTAAAAAGCTCTCCCCTGGCACCATGAACCATGTATGAGGAAAAGGACTTGTTGGGCCCTTAAGCTGAGAGCTCAATACCAAAGGATACTGTTGGATTTCATGTCTCTATGGATGATGTTCTTTGCGTGCAAATAGCTGTGAAGGAGAAAAATCAGGTAACTGTATGAGACAAAGTCAAGGCACACGAGGGCCTATCTTCCCAGCCTAACCCTGTCACTGGTAGAAAGGCTAGAGCATAAATGGGCTCATAAGCATCATTTTCACTCCAGTGCCCATCAGCTAACTGGTGGGTAGCACTGCATGCTGCAACTTGTATTTGCTCTGCAAACAAAGCCAGGCATGTAAGATGCTGTATTTTACCTTATATTCCGCTTATCCAAAGACAAAACCCAGTCAGGAGCTGGGGATGGCTGTAAGCTGATTATTTTTCTGGGTGGTGATAATGCAGAATGTAACAGGATAGATGCACTGGG